AAAATGAATCCCGCTTGTAATTTTAGTTTTTAACAATAGTAGATGCATCTGTTATTTTTTTATTTTCTTTGAAATCTTTTAAGATCAAAGTTCTGCAGGAATTTATCATATAGATGCTGATCTTCACTATATTCTAGCCTTTTCAAATATTGACACCATTTTAGATGGAAATTGGTATCATAATGCTTATTATTAAATAGATTGCACGTAATCATGTTTAGTCTGTATAGTATAAATCCACGTACATAAAATGTGTTAGATATTATAATATTATTAGTTATGTATGGATAATAAATAAATTAATAAGTTGTAGATTAATATTGGCAATATTAAATTCAAAGTTTAAATTCTATCCCTAAAATTAAAAACGAATTTTTACACTTAGAATATATTTAACCAAGAGTCTCATGTTTTTATCTTTTAAAATATTTTTTTAAACACAATTTTTACAAACTATGGACAAATAATGGGATAAAAAAAATTTATCGATGTATACAGTTTTAAATTATTTTTTCGGCTTTTTTTCACGCTTCTTTTGGAGAAAATCGAAAACAGTTTTTGTTTAGTTTTTAAATTTTGAATTCCTTTCCTTCACAATTGGGTACAAATTGTAAAACGAAATTTACACCATCTTCAATTCAATTTTAGGATCTTAGTTATTGCGCTGACAATTTGTGAGAATATCGCCAGTATTCTCACTTTAAGGTAAGTTTTCATTTTTATGGCACCGTCAATATTGCATATACGCCGGTAATTTTTTTCTTGAGATTCTAATACAATTAATTTGATTTTATTCTCATTTTTCAAAGGGTTGCTCTGTTGGGTGAAGCTAAAATGGCCTTGTTGATATATTTGTGGCATCATAAAACTAAGGTTTGTATGTTGTGTTTTTACTACACTCTAAATCCATAATTGAACAATTTTTATTACAAAAAAAAATAAAAAATCGACTTGTATAAATTTCTGTCTCAGGGCACAACATATGCTTACGAGTCTTTCTTGAGACCCTTTATCTCCAGGCATGAGATGAAAATCGATCTTTTTGTTCTGTTAATCAAGCGAGCTGGCGATGGTGTTCGTCGTGGCTTGTTAAAAATCTTATTTGCCGTTAAATGTGATGCTCGTTACAAGAAATTGAAGAAGAGTCTGAACAACTTCATATCGATGATGTCGCACGAGAATGGAGCAAGGCGCGAAACTTGGTTAGTGCTGGCAGCTTTCACATGGCATTTTTCTTTTATGATAACCGTGTTATTGGACCCGACCTTTCACAAATTCATCCAACAGCTTTGGAAACTGGAAACACATAATGGGGTTAGAGAATGGATTGTACAATGGCTTATCAAACAAGTTGGAGAGGATGGGATGCAGAATATCTATCATCTTTTGTTTAGTTTTTCCCACAGTGGTTGCCTGCATTTTAGTTTTTGGTATCTTCAATTCTTGAGTGAGCTAGCCGACTCACAGAAAAGTAGCCGAATACACTTGAAACTTACTCCTAAGGTGAGGTTCTTTTGCTAGAGCATGTTTGTCGTGACATGCGCGGTGATGACTCATCGCATCGACAATATGTGCAATCGTTTTGGAAAGTTTTGTGGTTGCTTTCATGTTATTCCTCTGGTCAATCTTATTGGGGCGAACGACAACTTCGGATTTGTTGATTGCTTCAAGGCTTTATTGCTTGAGGTGGGGCTATGCATCGGCAAACAATGTCCAGATTACGCTCCACTAGTCATTGCTACTGTTTTAATTGTTGCTTTGTATCTCAAGGACCAAGTAGATACCTAGTCTCTTTGTTGAAAGAGGAAATAATCAACGGGCATCCTTGCTAGTCTCTTTATTTTTTTTCGTAGAAATCTGTTAAGATCCAACTTCTTCATAGTGTTTCCTGCATATTCTGACAAACTCACTTGTATTTATACATACATAAACACCAATTTTGTGTTAAAAGAGTACTTTACTTTAGAAACTAATAATATAATAGTAATAGAAAAACCTAAAGGTATATTACAAATACTAATGTCCAACAACTTTTTCTTACACAAACAACTAATAAGAGCCAGTCCCACAATAATAATACATAGGATGGCCCAAAAGATGGAAAAATACAAAGTTACATATTGAGTGTCTCACTATCTACGGGAACCACAACATTAGTATTTTCATCAACCTGTGGGATTCTAAACTGAGATAATAAATATCCCTCAACAGGCATTCAACAAGATGTAGCCTTTTCTGCAGGAATATATCATATAGATGCTGATCTTCACTATATTCTAGCTTTTCATATATTGCTACCATTTTANGAAAAAAAAAAAAAAAAAAAGATGGATTCATTATTTAGACAATGAGCCACCAGTCGACATTTCGGTAGTTCAAACTAAAGGCTCTATTTGACCAGACGTGCTAATATTGCTGCAGTTATCCACACGAGATGGAGTTGGCCTAATCATGAGACTTTGCACGAATGCTATCATCTACATGATAAAAAATGAAAATCACAAATTGCAAAAATTAAGTGTCGTATATTACTTGATATTTATTTTTCATTCTATCTATTTATCCATTTGAGCGAGGAGGCACTTACAGCAGCTAAGCCAGAGACCATAATGCTAAATCCAGGAAAGTGAAACGGTGCATGGTCTGATAGAAACAATGCTGTCGAAAGAAAACATGAACTTTTATCATACTTAAATTTTTCCTTCTTCTTATTTTCTAACTTTTTTTGCTTTTTCATACTTGAAGTTGGAAAAAGGAGGATTTATAGTTACCTGTCAAAGGGCTGAAAGCAAGAGGGGAGACAATGTTAGAAAAGGAACATATGCCTGTAATACAACCTTGAGCCTTTCCCTATTTACCATTCATAATTTAATAAATTAGACAAAATTTTACACTTCATAGTCCAACCTAACCAAATATCTAAATATCTAATATTTTCCAGGAAGTAACAACAATCACCTGCTCACTCGGTCCTGTTTGTTTTGAGGCAATGCTTCGTAACTGCAAATACGAGTAGAATGTTATTATGATCAAACACTTTGAAAGTATTGATCAAGAATTTTAGTATGATTCAATACTTATGAATTACTCACACATGGCAGAGCAAAAGTGGAGATAACTGTAATCATAGAAGCTACATATGGAACCTGCACAAATGATGGGAGAGTGAGTTTCTTTTTTTTTTTTTGTTTTTAAATATATATATTATTGTTCATGTTTTTCCCAAATATGAATTATGTTTTGATTTTTACATGTCAGCAGATCAAGAAACTTACCCAAGGAGCCCAAGCAATGCTGTGAAGTAGCATCTACACACATGAAAGTAAAGTTAAAACCGAGCTATGCATTATGTGTCCTGATTTTATGGTCTTCGAGAGGATGATAATATTCATTTATATGCTGAGTTTTGTTTTTATTACATGAGCACAGCCGAAAAGGAGGCCCACAGAAAGCATCTTTTCATCTCCCATGAGTGGAGTTAACAAGGGCATAAGGATAAGCTGAAAGGCAACACACATACACACACAATAAATGAATTAAAATATAAAATAAATATGCAAATATGACAAAATGCTTAATAACAATGCATCTTATATGTGAAATATGATTACCTGTGATATAGTTCCGGCAATTCCAGCAATTATCATCAGGTCTGCGAATTGGTCTTTGTTAAAGTGGAATTGAAATTTCAAGTAGTACTGCNCATTGCAAAGTAGGGTACCATCAAAGAAGCGTAGAGTCCAACATCTGCAGCATTGATGAAGAATGCTACCACAGCTGCTTTCAAGAAAGTGGGGCTGAAAGACAAAGAAGAATACCATTAGTTTAAGAGGGTATTCTAAAACTCTCATTCACTTAATGAATGAGCAGCATAATGAATCAAAATATTTGGGTTTTACCTAGTCCGCAACAAGCAAATGGTATCGTTCACAGAAGACAGAGTCTTGAAAAGACTCGACTTTTTCGAGGGACCTTTTTCCAGAAGACGGTCGGTTTCTGAGGTTTTCGTGCAAATGCCATTGGACTCCGGAAGAAATATTCGCATATACAGCAATGCAATTACCGAAATGGCAGCAGCAACCTATACAGAGATTAAATTCCTTTATAAAGTTTTCTTGTCTACTAAAAAATTGCATAAGCAAAAATGCAACAGATTATTATTGATCATTTCTTGACAATTAAAAAATTACTTGAAATGTGGCTGAAGTAGATAGAAAACGAGCCGAGAAATTCCCGAATACGAAAGAAGAAGATGCAAAGCCCGACATAATCCCGAAAACAGCAGCCCGTTTGCCATCTGGAACATTATCTGCCTATGAATTAAAAAAAAAAAAAAGGATTATTGTGTAGAGTAATTTATTTAGCTAATATAGTTTTGTAGCTTCAAAAAAATGGTGATGCTGAAATTTGCTAGAGAAAAGGAATGTCAAAATTGATAGGTCATATATAAAGCAGGAAGAGGCAAGCACATGTAATTACCACATATGCAAGGGCAAGAAACTGAACACTTCCTTCACTTGCCATGGAAATCAGAGTTCTCAGCATATAGTAAGCGTAGAAATAGTATTTTGTCCTGTTGTAGGCCAAAATAACTGTGGCCCATTTTCAATTGCATTAGTTATTTAAACACATTTGTTTTACAGAGAAGTAAATAAAGAAAATAAAAATAAAAATCATGCTACTAATTTTATAAGATAAATCATTAGGCAGGCAGACAAGTTCGGTGGAAAAGAAAAATCACAACCACCCAGTAATAATCAATTAATTAGTAGAGTACAATTGCATCAGTGCTAATAAATAAATATAAATAAAATTTAGGAGAGATATATATTTTTGTTTAAAAATTCAGTAATTACTAAAAATATTTATCATTATTTATATTAAAATGAATTTTAATATTATCAATATTTATCATAATTTTCTAAATTCACATTATTTAATGAAATTAAAATATAAATTTATTTAATTGATAAATAATTTTATTAATTTTTTGTTAGTATTAATAGATAACTTTGTTGACGGTTGAAATCGTCAACTACAATTAATTATGGAATTTGGGTGGACTAATCGAGGGTTATTTGAAAAGAGTAGCGTTTTAAGACGGAAAACGAAAGGACAAAGAAAAAAAAACAGAAGCACGCAGATTTTGTTGATCTGTTTAGGAGATCAACAAGGAAAATTTTTGTGCATCGATATAGAAAACTCAAACAATTTGTAATCACTTTTTAGTAATCACTTTTTAAACTCATACTCTAACTCAAATTTAACTAAATCCACGATTTTGCATATTATCAATATAATTAAGTAAAAACAATCAATCATCCTTACACGTCATATCTACTTTAATTCACCATTCATTGGCTCACATAATTTTTACAACTCATCACTTCCAATCATCTCTCTCATATTTTTATCTCAAAATCCACAAAAACCTAAATCAACCAACATTTTTAAATTAACATTGGTTAACTGAAAAACTAATCAAAACCAAAATGTCCAATCACAAACTTATATCCAGCACACAGAATGTTTCTCCGAAAATTTATGTAGTATGAGAGTTGTATGTTTTTGGCTTATTACAACTTGCTTTTTGAGGGGCGTAAAGGGCCGAATTTATACACACACACAAAAAAAGGATAAAGTGTAATATTTGTTCTGTGCCAGCTAAGGGCGTAGGGTGGCGCCACGTGTCTCCATGCAAAATCTCAACTTTTGATGATGGAACTGGTTGGACGGTTGCGTTATCAGTATGTTTTACCAATTCCTGATTCATATGAGCGATATTGTCATTCTTCTAAATGAAGATATAAGTTCAGATCGACATCTTTCGAATGGAACGACTGTCGGTCAGAGAGAACGACGCATTCCTACCAACATTGCCTTTTGGGTTGTTTCATTCGTGGTTGCTAGGCCCAACGTGTGAAGTCCTAACTATCCATTGGGCTCAAGGGGCTGGTTTAGAGTACATGTAAATTTAATATACAACAATGGGACCATCAGGTTCTAGGTGGGGAGGAGATAATCGGTACACTTGGGAACCTTTCTCGCAAGCTTTGAACTTTTAGCAACAACCATGTATGATAGTCAATCATTGCGTCAGTTATGTTGGTAGGAGGTGCGACACGATAGGACATCTTTTCGTCAGATGTATTAAATGAAAAAATGTATCCCATCGGAGTTGAGGCGTGTCTTTCTTTATCTTGGAGTGGCTCTTGTATTTCGTACCTTAATGGATAAGGTGCAATGATTGGAGGGACATTGAGGCCGTCCCTGTATATACTGAGTTCTCTTGGGACTTAGAGTTATTTGTACTTTAATTCTGATTTTTTTTTAATTCTTTTAGTTCTTTTGTTTGCTAGAACGTCAATCTATTTTCTCACTTAAAGCTTTTCAGTTATGTCGGACTCCAACGATCATGAAGCGAAAGAGATGTCTGCAGGAGATCGTGAAAGTTCCAAAGATTGAATTTTGACGATCTCCAAATTTTTATTCGGTTTTAGAGATTTCTAAATTTTCTAACCCAACTATTTAATACACACCCTTGTAAAACAGTGTTTCTTGATTATTCACTATATTCTTGTCGTACAACTATCTACAGACCTAGCTAATTAATATCCTTGGAAAAGGAGTCGCCAAAATTTCTAGAAGTTGAACCATTATTACCAATCATTTCGAAGTGTACAAATCTAAAAAACCTCTCGCCTCTCTCTTCTCTTTCCTAAATCTCAATCGATGGGAAAAAAAGGGGATCTGACCTTCGCCCCCCTTCTCCTCAGTTGCCATTCCACGACTGACTGGTTCTCCAGCCATGGGCTGGGTCGATGGTGGACGTTTGTCTTTTGTCCTCAGCCGATGTGAGCGAATGGGTTATATACGAAGATTCCTCCGACGTGGCTCGTCGAGTTCGCTCCCCCGGAATCCATTTCTTTCCTGACCGAACGCTGCGGGAGCTCAGATCTAGGTTGAGAGTAGTCTTTTCGCTAGATCTGACTAGACGCTTAAGTATGTTTGCAGTTTTTTGTTGCCCTCATTTAGTTTACGATTGCGGGGTTGGATCATTGTGGATTTCGGTCCATGTGCTGGTTCAGGTGGTCGTAGCGGTGATCTGATAAATTGTAAGGGAGGTATTTTTCTATTGTTTGTGTAAGTGTAAATTGTAGTTTTTTTTTTGTGTGTGTTTTTCTTCAAGTTTTAAGTTTTCAGACAGCTGAGTCTTATTATTAGTTTATGGTGTTGTTTCGTCTCATTTATGGATTTTTTTCTCGAGTATTCATACACCTTGGTTGCCTGTGTAATTTCAATCGGAGGTTGTTCCAGACTTTGTTTTAGTTCTTGTAGTGTCATTAAACATCTCGGTTGTTCTCTTTTTGAGTTTATAATATATTATCTGATATGAAATATTATATATATTAGACCGGTCCAGATGGTCGGCGGAATAAATCGGATTAATTGGTTTGGTCGATCGAAGTCCACTCGGGTCGATGGTAGACAAAGACCACGATCACAGGAATCTGGGAAAATCTTAGCATGTCCCAGTTTCACAGAAGACTTGGTCGAAGGGTTCAGTGGTCGAAGCAAGTGGTCGTGAGATCGATCATCCTTTACGCTAGGGGTAGCCTAACAACCTGCCCAGATATGGCCGAACATAAGAGCCTCCAAGGGAATCTCGGATACACGTGCGTGGGACTTGTGGCGCAAGCTAATTGGTCTAGGCCAATAACCGTTTCTGACACATTCCTGACACACTTACCTAGCGTTTGAACTATCGGGCAGGCCGGACAGCCCTAGGGTAGACATGGCCACGGGTCAACCGGCCCGCTGATCCGGCACGGGCCCGGCCCGGTCAAACCCGTTGACCACGGGTCTGGGCCCGACTCGAATTTTTAACCGGGCCGGTTCAGGGTCGTCTTTTTTTCGACACCGACCCGGCGGGCCGGGCCGGGTCCGGTTTGGCACGGGAAAAATCAATTGTTTTTGAATTTTTTTTTTTCATGGGTCGGGCTCGACACGGATTTAAAGCGTGCCGGTTCAGGGTCGACAAAACCCAACCCTTCGGCCCGCCGGGCCAGGCCGGGCCCTGAACCGGCCCGCCATTTGGCCATGTGTACCCTAGGGCAGCCAGCTCACCAAAATCCGGGCATCTTCTAGAATAGGTATCTCACCCCTATATATAAGGGTGAGCCTTATAATTTTCATACATTCTCTCATATTCTATTAACACTTATAACATATATCATCTTCTTCTCAAGACTAAATTGAGCGTTGGAGGCTCTTCACTGAAAAATCCCTCCAGTATGAGAGTTTCGTGCAGGTTTCGGCGTTCTACCGGCAAGGGGAGCAAGATTGAGACGGTTCTCAGCCAGTCGGAGTGTTACAATTGTATTATTATCGTTTGGAAAAAGATAATTTCAAAGGTTACCCTTAATTAGGGCAACCCATGCGCTATTAATTAGTGCTAGACTTGTTCCTATAGTTATAATTATAGTGTTAGACGAAATAAATTTAATACACGGTATTAACCCGACCATTTTTCTTCAAAATGAAGGTAATATGCGAAATTAATAAATCAAAGTTACCTACCAAGTGGAAAGACCGAAAGAGTCATGGGGACAGTGAGCAACACTTTTCTTCCATAAGTGTCCGATAAATTCCCAACCAAAGGCATTACCACAAGTGACCCCAAACCTATCAGCTGCACCCAACAACACACACACACAAATAAATCTCTTTATAGTACATATATTTTTTAATCACACATTAGAAAGTTCAAAAGGGTCATTTAGCTACTGATATGATAAAACATGACTGCATGGTTTTATTTTATTCAAATGGAGAACCGTAGGTAAGAGATAGAAAATGATTAAAGACAAAACGAAAAGAAGAGAGAACGGGAATATTTCATCTTGCAATTGCTGCAGTTATGACATAAGAAATCCAATTGAGAATTTAAGGGAAAATATATTTTAATTGAAACTGAAGAACTGTTTTATGATGAATTAATAGTCCACGTATCAACTTTTCAATGTCATCATTCAAGATGTTTTGGCATGACTACTATGTAACCTAATTAATTATTCAATTCATTAGGGAAAAAAAAAGTTTTCTAAAATCAATGGTTCGACTTTCAATGTATTATTCCTTATTTTTTCGTGTTAGGTGACACATTACTTTTCTAAAAGAAAAGTAATGCTGACCAAATAAAACCCAACACACAGAGCGATTGACTTCAATTAAAGGCAACAATAACCCGTAATGAAAAATAACTATATTAATACATTTACTTTAATAATTTTGGAATTTTTCAAAAAATATGGTAATGCAGTGTAGAATAGCACTATTCTTTAACATCATTTGATTTGTAAGGCCTGGAAATGATATCATATCAAGTTGGACATTCTTTTTAAAAAGACAACAAAAGCGGACAACATTGTAGATGCTCGGAGTGTTATATATCTAAATTCCTTAAGGCAGAAATAATGTTTTTACCCTTTGTGAAGTGATAGTACGAAAGAAACACTTCTTAAATTAAATTGAGAAAAAGGTTATCATCTTATTTGTTAATTAACAAAGGGTGTTATTTTCTATGATTGAACCAGCTTAGTTTTTCTTATTATATTTATATTTTATTGCTGAAATTAAATATAGGGCTGAGGGGCATGAAGTAAATTATAACTAGAAGAGGAAAAACGGGACCATGAAATAGTGGCAATCTTTTTTCTTCTATAGAATGTTTTGTGATGGGATAAAACGGGAAAAGAAAAAGAAGCATTAATAAATATAAGCTGGACTTTATTACCGACCATGCCGTCACATAATTAGATTTTGAGGGCTAAAAATTTAGTCAAAATTTAGTAAAAAATGGCGACCAAAGACCGTATCACGAGCATTCACCCAAGACATTTTTACCAAAGACATTTTTACCAGGAAGTAATGCTTGTCCATTTCATGAAACAGAGCGGTTACTGAAAAATCCATTGAAATGGTAAAAATTAGACAGTAAAGAGTTTTCATTTTTTTTTAAATAATGTCTTTATTTTGACATTTTCTCCCAACCAAAAAAATATTTGACGCGGTATCATCATTAAAAAAGTATATCATAGCATTACAAATTCAATGAAATTAAATTAAATGGTAATTGAGATGATTCAATTTATTATCTTATCTCAAAATTCAGTTTCATCTCCCAAATGCATGACATGTATATTTAGGATATACTTGACACTTCATCTAAATTGTTGGTATAGTAGTAAGTTGATCTCATTCTGAGAGTCAATCAAATACCAAGAAAAAAGAAAGGAAAAAAAAAACATTTGATCTCTCTAAAAGGAGCATATGGTTACTTATGCATGCATATATAGCTAATCACCAAAAAAAAATTGTGAGAAAACAAACTAACCGCTTGTTGTGCCCCCGAGAGATATATAGCTAACGAACATTCGTCTTTTCCGGGACAAAGTGCCGCTAAAGTGACATCGGTGATGGCCGGAACCACCATGAGGTTCGCAAAGCAGTAGAGGAACAGAGTCATGAATAGGTGGTGCAACCCAAAATCCTTCTTCATATTTCTCTCTCTATATATATATGTGTGTGTGTGTGTGTGTTAAAGAGATAGCTAAAATGAAGACTTGTAAATAAAATAGGCTAAATAATGTGTTAATCACTCTCACTCAATTCTTGAAAGAAAAGGGCAAAAAGAGAAGCATTAAATTAAAAGGAAATTAAATGAAAGTTAGAACTATTGAGATCAATGACAAGTGGTTGTTTTGTCAATAAGTGAAAAAGGTTGGGAGCATGCTTGTGCTTTACTTGGGTGTGAGCTCTTAAATTGCAAGATTGCATGGGCGCGTGCATCGCGGGGTGTGTTGTGGGGGCATATAATTTCAAGTCTAAAAGAGTGACGAAAGAAAGTGGGGGTGTGTTGAAATTATGTCGTAGCTTGTAAAGTTTGTGCAAGGGCATTATAGGCAAACCTGAAATTAAGCACAACATTTGCTTACGCTTTGATGCGTACAAGTTTGAGCAACATTATCCCTTAGGTGATGTGCTAATAATGGGCTCAAAATTGACATTACAAAACAATAGGTTGCTCCTAACATACTCGTCGTAGTGGATTTACCGATTTAGTCTATTGGAATAGGGATGATGTTAGGACCTACAAGAAGAAGATAATATTGAGGCAAAATATATGTTATCATATTTAGTACTAATTTATTTTTTTTATGTCAAGTAATTTTTTTCTTTTTTGGAAAAATGATATACCAATTTGGTATTGATTAAACTTAATATGCACTCACTTACATAAATATATATATATATACTAGTTGGCTCGGTGGCTGTGCACTGTTCGCTAATTATTTTCACTATCCGCAAGTGTACGGAGTAGGTATAGGTAGTGGCGAGCAATGTCGTATTCCACAAAGATTGTAGTTAAATTAATTAAGTACTAAAATAATGATGACTAAATATTATCTAGACTAATGAATTAGGTGATGATTATTAACTAAGAAATTAAACTAAGAACTAATCTAACTAAAAATAAAAATAAAAATAAATAAAGAAACAAAAGGTAGATTCTATGCTAAGCGTTCCTCGGAATTAATTAATGAAACGTTTATATTCAAACAAACTTTATTTAATTTTATCAATCGTAGAGATAATCGCTAAATTGATTTCAAACCTTTCTGTCGAACAAGTCAAATCGTAGATATTAATTGTTATCTATCTCCTCTCGGTCTCAAGATGAACAACTAACTCTCATAAGTTCCTAGGATTTTCGTTCTCTCACAAGATCATATCAACCTCTCGGTCTGTTTATTCTCTTATGTTATAAATCTCCCAATTCTAGCAATCAATTATCTCCTCTCCGTCTCAAATTGATTACAAATACGCATTCATAGTGGCCATCTACTCACACAATAATAACAAGCAAAAGAAATATATAAACGAAAGATAAACCGGAATGAAAGCAATAAAAACTATATCATAAATCAATCCGAGTACTAACAAATCCTAGAATCTAGATAAATCTAGCCTAGAAACATGCTTTCAAAATAAGAAAAATAGATATAAAACATTGAGTTCGAAAGAGGAAAAGAAAAAGAAAGAAAAAGCTTATTCGGCTCCGTCGATCCTTTCTTCCCGACTTTTTCCCTCGTTTTGCTCCTGTTTCTAGCCTCCAAAGGTCTCAAAAGATGTGAAATTATGTCCAAGACTCCCCCAAAACGTGTCCAAGGGTTGTATAAATAGTTGAGATCGAGTCCTAGTCGAAATAGGTCGAAAATACCGAAAAAATAGGAAAAACGCGTAAATCCGGTTCTGATGCGTCCAGGGACACACGACTCGTGTCATAAGCCACACGGGTCGTGTGACAAAGTTGAGAGCGACCCGTCGGGACGACACAATCCGTGTCTCGGGCTCACACGAGCCGTGTGAAACTGGGCGTAAAAACTGCTCTGAAAGTTCATTTTGACGCCGGCATTCACCTCCTGGAAGCTTTTGAGGTATCTCAGGCGTCTCCCGGTTGTCGTACGTGGCGTCCAAGTGGTCAGATGGTGATTTTCGGCCAGCTCCGGCAGCTCCCGTCAGATTCAGGCGCGAAGCTTTTTCTCCGGCGAGTACATGGCGGTTGCGGCGTTCAGTTCCGCTCCGGCGTCTGTGTAGCGGGGAGGTGTTCCGGGGACGAGTGGCGGACGTGTGGCGGCGCAGTGCTCAGCTCTGGTCGTGCGGCAGCTCTTTCATGGCGGACATGGCGTGCAGGTACGTGAATTTCATAAGGAGAAGAAGATCTCAATCCTTGTGCGGAAAGACCATGGTGCCCTTACTTAAATGGTTCTTGGGCCAAATCAAATGCTTATCAAGTTTGGGCCTTTTTCTCATTTTATAACTAGCAGATGCGGCTCAACATATAACCAGCCCTTTTATTCCAATTTCCAAGTGGCCTATGTCCCAATCTATTCCGTCTTGTCCGGTTCAAGTTGTTTTCGACTCCAATAGTTATTTCGGCACCATATTCTGTTAAAACTCAAAATAACACACTTCATCATAGCTTAATAAAAATAATTAAATAATTAATTAATTAAATATTAAACTACAACGAAATGGACACAAAAATTACTATAAAATGCACGTAAATATGACGTATGTCATGCACACAGCCGGCCCTAGTCCAGTCAATAATTATAAGGCAAAATAGCTCGCTATATCATGATTTTTTACCAAATTGCTAAAACATCATGACTTTTGGACCTTGGCGGAGAATATCATGACCTTTGAATTTTTTGCAAAATGATACACATAAATCAGAAACCAGCCATCGGTGCTTACGTGTCCGACCAACCTGAAATTAAAAATCTGATGTGTATATATTTGTCCCACGTGTAGTATGACATGGAAAACAAGTATAAATAGCCCAATTTTTTCTCCAATTCTCTTATCTCCTTCCCCAAATTTATTCTCATTTAACCCTAATTTTCTCTCTCCCCCAATTCTCTCAAGTCTCGATACCCCGCCACGCAGCCAACATAGTCGCCAGAGCTGCCGGACGACGGCCGCACCGAATTCCGCCGGGGAAGTCGCTCACCGTGGAGTTGCCATTCCCGATGGCGTCGAATGAGCAGTCTGTCTGGGACTAGAAGTAGCCCGACCATCCCGCCCGTGTCGGGAGGTGGATGAAGCTGTTGGGAGGGACTTCCTGCTCCTTCTTGCTTGACCTTATTTCACTACCCGAGCCATCCCCAAATTCCCCGTGCTCGCTGAAGAGGGCATCCCATTTTGGTGAGCTCGAATGCAAGATCTCGAGGAGCAACGAGCAGACCAATTTTTTTCAGGTCGGGCTCACAAGCCTTGTGGGTCTGCCTTACCATCATCATTCGAGGCTAATGGCTCACTTTTTATGGGTCCCTGATGCTTTTCACTGCCATTGATGCGGCTAGAACACTTCCAAATCGCGCAATATAAAAAGTGAGAAAGATAATAGAAAGGAGTCAACATTGTAATTTGGTGTAGAGAAGGCTAAGGTGGTGGTCAATTGTCAAAAAGAGAAAAACCGGTGTGGCTTCCATGGGAATAAAGGGAAGAGGCGGGCTTGGCTTCCATGAGAAAAATGCTACCACAGCTGCTTTTGAGAAAGTGGGGCTGAAAGACAAAGAAGAGTTCAATTAGCTTAAGAGGGTATTCAAAAACTCTCGTTCGCTTAATGAATGAGCAGCATAATGAATCAAAATATTTGGTTTTTACCTAGTCCGCAACAAGCAAATGGTATCGTTCACAGAAGACAGTCTTGAAAAGACTCGACTTTTTCTGAGGGACCTTTTTCCAGAAGACGGTCGATTTCAGAGGTTTTTGTGCAAATGCCATTGGACTCCGGAAAAAATTCTCGCATATAGAGCAATGCAATAATCGAAATGGCAGCAGCAACCTATACAGAGATTAAATTCCTTTATAAATTTTTCTTGTCTACTAAAAAATTGCATAAGCAAAAATGCAACAGATTATTATTGGTCATTTCTTGACAATTAAAAAATTACTTCAAATGTGGCTGAAGTAGATAGAAAACGAGCCGAGAAATTCCCGAATACGAAAGAAGAAGATGCAAAGCCCGACAAGATCCCAAAAACAGCAGCCCGTTTGCCCTCTGGAACATTATCTGCCTTGAATGTTTAAAATAAAATAAAATAAAAAACAAGAAAAAGGATTATTGTGTAGAGTAATTTATTTAGCTAAGATAGTTTGTAGCTTAAAAAAATATGGTGATGTTGAAATTTGCTAGAGAAAAGGAATGTCAAAATTGATAGGTCATATATAAAGCAGGAAGAGGCAAGCACATGTAATTACCACATATGCAAGGGCAAGAAACTGAACACTTCCTTCACTTGCCATGGAAATCAGAGTTCTCAGCATATAGTAAGAGTAGAAATAGTATTTTGTCCTGCTGTAGGCCAAAATAACTGTGGCCATATACAATTAGCATTAGTTATTTTAACACATTTGTTTTACAGAGAAGTAAAGAAATTAAAACAAAAAATCATGGTATTAATTTAATTGGATAAATCAATAGGCGTCTACAAGTTCGGCGCGAGAAAAAAAAAATAATCACCACCCAGTAATAATCAATTGATTAGTAGAGTACAATTGTATCAGTGTTTTTCTTTTAAATTCAGTAATTACTAAAAATATTCATCATTATTTATATTAGTGACACCCGGTTACTTGTGACTTATCCTCATATATTATCATAATTTTCTAAGTTCACATTATTTAATGAGTTTAAAAGATAAATTTATTTAATTGATAAATAATTTTATTAATTTTCTGTTAGTATTAATAGATAAGTTTGTTGACGGTTGAAATCGTCAACTACAATTAATTATGGAATATGAGTGGACTAATCGAGGGTTATTTGAAAAGAGTAGCGTTTTAAGACGGAAAACGAAAGGACAAAGAAAAAAAAACAGAAGCACGCAGATTTTGTTGATCTGTTTAGGAGATCAACAAGGAGAATTTTTTGTCCATCGAAATGACAAAAAGGGGTCTGACCTTCGCCCCCCTTCTTCTCAGCTGCCATTCCACGACTAACTGGTTTCTCCAGCCATGGGTTGGGCCGATGGCGGACGTTTGTCTTTTGTCCTCAGCCGACGTGAGTGGATGGGTCAAACACGACGACTCCTCCGACGTGGCCCAGAATCCATTTCTTTCCTAACTGAAGGCTGCGGGAGCTCAGATCTAGGTTGAGAGTCGTCTTTTCTGTAGATCTTACTAGATGCTTAAGTATGTTTGCAGTTTTTGGTTGCCCTTCTTTAGTTTACGGTTGCGGGTTTCGGTCCATGTGCTGATTCAAGTGGTCGTAGTGGTGATTCGATGATTTGTAGATGAGGTATTATTCTATTGTTTGCGTAAGTGTGAGTGTGTGTGTTTTTCTTCAAGTTTTAAGTTTTCAGACAGCTGAGTCTTATTATTAGTTTATGGAGTTGTTTCGTCTCATTTATGGATTTTTTTTCTCGAGTATTCATACACCTTGGTTGCCTGTGTAATTTGAATCGGAGGTTGTTCTAGATTTTATTTTAGTTCTTGTAGTGTCATTAAACACCTCGATTGTACTCTTTTTGAATTTATAATATATTATGATTTGGAAAAAGATCATTTCGAACTTTACCCTTAATTAGGGCAACCCATGCGCTATTAATTATGCGAGACTTGTTCCTATAGTTATAATTATGGTGTTGACGAAATAAATTTAATACAATGTATTAACCCGACCATTTTTCTTTGCAGCCCTCCTTTTTTTATGTTTTGTTTTTTTTATTTGTTTTTTTTTTCTGATTGAGATATATATCTATACTTATATTAAAGGGGGTACTATTTACTAAATGTAGTATGTAGAATAGTCAACCCTAATTAATGATTTGCTATTTTTATCAATTTAATTAATGCATCTAATATTTTTGGTATGCAAATCAAATTAGCATTTAATTAGTTCCTAAAATATTGGGTATGCAATATTAATTTAGGAATATCTATGTAGTTCCTAAAATGTAGGTATGCAATACGTAAATGAAGATTTTTTTTTTTTTTTTAAATATAAAATATTGCAACACTTACAACTATTCCAGTTATTTTTTTATTTTATTTTACATATAAAATTTAATCAATATTTAATGCATCCTACAAAATTGGATTTAGTTTAATTCTCCATACAATTGGTTGTAACTTTTTCAGTTGTACATTTTTTATTTATTTATTTTACACTTTTAAATTAATGAAGCTCTCCGAAAATACCAAATCAAATGATTTATGAAAATTTTTTTTTTTTTACAATTTTAAATCTATATACCCAGCTTAAAAAACTCATCGCATGGACGAGTTTAAGAAAATTTCATAACCCAGCTTATAAAATTCCATCTCCACGAGTAAAAAAAATCACATCCCTCATCTATCGTAACAACTTTAAACGTAAATAAATAAAAGTCTAATTACTACTATAAATCCATTATCTATATAGATTTTTTAAAAATGTAAATTTCACCTGTCTCATTACTAATATTTTAGATACTTTTAAATATTATTTGTATAATTTTTTTTTACACATTCTCTCTCTCTCTCTCTATATATATATACATATATGAAGGTTAAATGAAGAATTTTTAGACATATTTTCCTTACGGGTAGTTTAGAAAAATTTAGGTAGCTTCAAACATTATTTGTGAATAATATAGAATATTTTAGATGCTTTTATAGATGTTATAAAATATTTTAAGTATTTTTAAATATTTTAAGTATTTTTAATATTTATATATCACACTTAAAAAGAATATTTTGCCAAAAAAAAAAATATTAAATACACATTGTAAATGTTAATAGAAACAGTCTTCAGTATTTCATCTTTGATTTTGTCAAAACAAATCTTATAAAATTGGTGAAGTCAAAATTTGTACGTAAAGTCTATCTGTAAAGTCTATCTATACTAAAAAAAGGTAGATTCAAAATTCTTTATCTAATTTTTTTTTTCCTTATCTAATTCATTCTTATTATCTAATTGTATAGAAATCTGTTCTGATTTTGTGTAATCCTCTAATTGTATTTGTATCATATCCGATAAAATCGGTTTAACAAAAAAAATCCCATAACATCCGATAAGTAAAAAAAAGTACGTAAAATCTTTATTAAAATAAAAAGGCTTTATTTATTATCTAATTTATTATCTAATTGTATGGAAATCTGTTCTGATTTTATATTACGTACTACAAGTTGTGAACCCGTGTTCAGGAGCTACTTAATCGACAAGCTATGTGGAAATAACTCATTTAGTGCTTCTGTCCCGTGCATACGGTATGTATTTGTATTACACATACTAGAAAATTGTGCACCCCGTGCATGGGCTCTGTACTAATAAATGACCTTAAAATTGTGCACCCCGTGCATCACCCGTGTTCACATTTTGGCCTATTACAGGTCACGTACTATATATATCCTGTATATTTTTCTTTATTCATTTATATAATTATAAAACTTGATAAATAGCCTTAATTTTGTGCACCGTGCATCGCACGGGATCTGTACTAGTTAATATATAAAGAGACAATGATATTTACTTGTAATAGTAACAAAAAATAAGCAAAAAAAATATTTGATTTCTCGCCTAAAAATTCAAATTTACTAGTTATAGTAAACTTTTTTATAAAAATTCAAAATATCCCGGCTCTACAAAACTTGTTTGAATTTTTTTGGAAATTTGAAATAAAATCGTCCAGGTGAATGTCGGATGACACATGTTATCAGTTTACCATATTTTTCTAACTAAATAACAATCTTCAAATTTTGGAAAAAAATATCAAATATTTATGGACTCTTTGTTTAAATTTTTCGGAAATTTGAAAATGAAAGTCTGGTTGTATTTGAGCAGAAATTCTATGGCGCCCATATGGGCACCATAGAATTTCTGGTATTTGAGTCCACAAATTTGTAAACATCACTTCTTAAATTCAATATAAATTCAACAATCAATGGGAACATAATATTAAGATCATTATGCTCCAAAAGTGAGTAATTTCATCCTATAAAAAACAATTTTTTTTTTTTTTCAATTTAAATGCCAAAATAATTTGCTGAATTAAACAATCATAATTTCATATTTGGAATGTCTAAAAATTTTAAAAGAGTGTCGTATCAAACAAAAATTTTAAAGAGTCCCATTTGGAATGTCATCATAAATTACTTAATACTTACCACAAAGAATCTCATATCAAACCAACCACTAACTTTATACTTATCCCCTAAAAAATCAATATTACATCTACCACCATTTAAATAAAATCAAAAGACAAAAGAAAATAAAATCAAACACTAATTTATAATTTACAAAGTTACCCATATCACACTCAAACATATTAGATGATTCCCATCTACCATCACTATTTATAAAATATTGAGAACAAATAAATTTAATCGATTATTTAATTTAAATTTAAATATGTTCATAATGTAAAAGTCTCCATGAAAAATCATTCCAATATCAGGTGAAAGATAAACAACATATTAATAGATATAATACATCAAAACAAATATTTATTTAAATTTCGAAAAACTATTTCTTAAAATTCTTAAAATGTGCATTGTATTTTGGTAAGTCAATCTCACTTATAAATTATATTCTGATATTTTTTTTCTTCTAAGTACGAAAAAAAATATTTTTTTTTTAGCAATAAAGAGTTATTTAACATTTACAATCTATTACAAGGTTACCTATTTACTAAATATAGTAGAAAAAATACAAATTAATTCATTTTCAACTTTCTAATTATTTTCAACTTTCTAATTATGATAAATACAAAATTTTACATGTCATTTGATGTTTTTTTTTCCAACGATCTCAACTATGTTTATATTTTTCTTTATCTTTGCACATTTGTGCGTTTGTTATATATATTCTCTATCGTTTCGGAAAAAAAAAAAAGAGTTGTATTTTTAAAAAAAACTTTCATTTGCATAGGAAAGATATATATAACTATAAATCAGGTAAAAAAAACCTATTCATTTTCAAATAAAAGATTTATACACAGTAAAATCTGCTCAATACGATTTTTTGACATGCATATGAATGTAAAGTTTGATATTCATTTTTTCATAGTGATTTTAGGATATAAGTGTGATATTTTTCTTTTTTCAGTGTGATTTTTTATTTACCAGTCAACAATTCCGCTTAAATTTCAACAATTCTTAAAATAGTACAGTGCTTTAAACACTAATCCCAGTAGATTCAAATCAATCTTTACAAATCATCTCAACCCACTATTTGTGATGTATACTATCGATTCAAATTCAAAAAAATACACTATATTCTATTAAGAGGTTTAATATCAAATGAAAGAAAAAAAAATGGGACGGATATCTTTGATAACTTAACAATTTTTTTTTTTATACTAATCGGTTACCAATGTTGTTTCTTTAAAAAAAATTATATTAGATCTCTTATTTATTTAAACTGTCGATTACTGCTAAAACTATTATATCTTAACAGTTTTTTATACTAACAATACTTAAACTTAAATATAACACACGTTTTGAACATTAATCCCGATACATATAAATCAATCATTACACATCAACTCAACACATTAATTGTCAGAGAACACCAATTTAAATTAAAAAATGATCTGCTATATGTTATTAATAGATACAATATCAAATGTAAACCAAAAAAAAAAAAGAAAAAAAAGGACAAGCACCTTTGATATCTTAACATATTATTTTTTTCAATCTAACCGATTATCAGAGTTGTTTTTTTTCAAATAAATCATATTATATCTTTCATTTATTTAACCTACCTAACCAAAATTATTATACCTTAACTGAATTTTTTATACTAACAATTGTTAAACGTAAATATAGCACATGCTTTAAACACTAACCCCGATATATACAAATCATTTCAACATACACTGATTATGATATATACTATATATTGAATTAAATTCAAAAAAATCTGCTATAGTTTATTAAGAGATACCATATCAAATGCAAAAAGAAAAATATAAAAAAATGACGAGAGATACAATGGCAAATGCAAAAAAATAAATAAACAATGGAAAGATATCACATGTTGGCATATCCTTGAAGAAACTGTGGTTCAGTCACAGTTAGCTATATGTAGTTGTTTCACGCGTTACTAATCGTAAGAGTTTAAAGATTTTAATTTGGGGCCATGATGATGTACAAAAACTTAAACAAAGAATGTTGTGTACAAGTATGTGTTTAATAATATAAATAACATTTTTCTTATTCCAATAAAGGTGTTTCATGTTTTGAACAAAGATTCAAAATGAAGGTAATATGCGAAATTAATAAATCAAAGTTACCTACCAAGTGGAAAGACCGAAAGAGTCATGGGGACAGTGAGCAACACTTTTCTTCCATAAGTGTCCGATAAATTCCCAACCAAAGGCATTACCACAAGTGACCCCAAACCTATCAGCTGCACCCAACAACACACACACAAATAAATCTCTTTATAGGACATATATTTTTTAATCACACATTAGAAAGTTCAAAAGGGTCATTTAGCTACTGATATGATAAAACATGACTGCATGGTTTTATTTTATTCAAATGGAGAACCGTAGGTAAGAGATAGAAAATGATTAAAGACAAAACGAAAAGAAGAGAACGGGAATATTATTTCATCTTTCAATTGCTCCAGTTATGACATAAGAAATCAAATTGAGAATTTAAAGGAAAAGATATCTTAATTGAAGATTGGAAAGAGATTTTTTTTCGAAAAATTTTGTCTCATCTAAGAAAAGTAATTATGAAGAAGTGGAAAAATTTGATTTTAAAAAAAGTGAGATCAATTTGCGAAAGAACGATTTTTTTTCGAAAAAATTTATGTCATCTAAGAAAATTAGAAAAGTAATATGAAGAAGTGGAAAAAATTGATTTAAAAAAAAATGACATAAATTTGCGAAAGAATACGACGGAAACATATAATATTGACTAAACTTGATGTGACATAAAAATAATAAAATATTTTTTAGTTAGGAATGTATAAGTGTGCTAGTAATATTTTTTTGTCAAAAAATATATAATGATGTGTACTTTTTTTTAAATAAAATTATATTAGTGGGATTTGTAGAGTAAAATGAAGATGATGTAAAAACTTTTTCTTTATTTTGAGAAAATTGTTCTATTTTCAGTTTGAATGTAATTAAACATTTTTGTTATGAATATTCGTGAATCATGAAGGACTATGAATATACATTCCAGCTTTATTCGTATATATGTGCCGACTCACGATGCGGAGTCTAAACTCTCAACTTAAAGTTTCAATTGTCCTGGATACCTCAAAAAATGGTATAAGTGGGAAAATAAAATAACTGACCAGCTTGCTTAGTCAATTAAGAAATCACTAAATTCGTTTTAATCTTCTGTTTTTAAATTTATTTCATTTTGGACCTAATTAATTCTTTGTTTTACACGTGGAAACCAAAAGACCTGGGATTCGTTGTTAGGATTGACTTGTTTTTCACATCTAGAGGCATTCAAGGTCATGTACTACTAAAAATGCCAATATTAAAGGTCAATATTTAAGCAAACCGAAAGTAATTGACTTACCAAAGAAATAATTAATTCTGATTTTTGAATGGAAAAAATCGAAAATTAGGGCTTGGAGGGAAAAGAATGAAGAGGTTCAGTCATCAAAAGTAATTAATTAAGGTGATAAAAATTAGGAAGTGAAGTTCTTTTTTGTATGCGAAAAAATCTTGTTTCTTTTACTTTACTTTGTGATACGTATTTGCATATCATTTTAAAAAATAAAAAATAAAAATGAATACATGCATTCTTATATTCTAATAGAAATACTGAAGAACTGTTTTATGATGAATTAGCCCATGTATCAACTTTTCAATGTCATCATTCAAGATTTTTTGGCATGACTACTATCTAAAGTAATTTATTCAATTCATTAGGAATAAAAAAAAAAATGTTTTCTGAAATCAATGTTTCAACTTTCAATGTCATTATTCCTTATTTTTCGTATTAGGTGACACATTATGTAACCGAAGCCCGAAGTTTGAAATATCTGCTTTATGCAGAGTAGGTAACAGAAAAGTAATGCTGACCACATAAAACCCAACTCACAAAGCGGTTGATTTCAGTTAAAGGCAATAATAACCCGTAAAGAAAAATAACTATATGCATACATGCATTTACTTTAATTTTTTTGAAATTTTTTAAAAAATATAGTAATACAATGTAGAATAGCACTATTTTTTGATATCATTTGATTGTAATATAATGCCTGCAAATTATATCATATCAATCTGGACATTNAAACGCGAACAACATTGTAGATGCTCGGAGTGTTATCTAAATTCCTTAAGCCAGAAAATTGTTTTACCCTTTGTGAAGAGATAGTACGAAAAGAAACACTTCTTTAATTAAATTGAAAAAATGTTATAAACTTATTTGTTAATTAACAAAGGGTATTATTTTCTAAGATTGAATATTCTTTTTATTTTATTGTTGAAAATTAAATATAGGGCTGAGGGCATGAAGTAATTAACTAATTATAACTAGAAGAGGAAAGAGGACCATGAAATAGTGGCAATCTTTTTTCTTCATATAGAATGTTCTGTGATGGGATAAAACGGAAAAAGAAAAAGATCACATAATTAGATTTTGAGGGCTGAAAATTTAGTCAAATATTAGTAAAAAATGGCGATCAAAGAGCGTATCACAAGGCTTCACCCAAGAAATTTTTACCAGGCAGTAGTGCTTCGCAAATACTTAGGTGTGCCTAGGTACACCTAGCTAGGTGTACCACAAATGAACATGTTATGTTATAAAATGAATATGTGCAAATCATGTTTGTACATGTTCATTTTATAACATAACATGTTCATTTTAAATTGCCCTGGCACACCTAGCTAGGTGTACCTAGATGACAGAAACTGGGGGAAATGGGTGCTGGCCCACTACCATGAAGGACACCATGAAAGAAGGGAAAAGCCCATATGAAGCCCAAAGGGGGTTCCATCCCAAAACCAATTGGTGGAAGGAGGAGTAGCCCATTAGTCTTATAAGGTGGGTCTATTTTCCATATATGAACGATGTGGGACTACTCACAAGTGATATTCTAACATGCCCCCTCACTTGTGAGTCCTTCGAAAGCCCAAGCCCAACTAAGCTGGGTGCCCCAAGCCCTACTACAAACAGGCTCCCATAAACGGGTACGTGGGGGATAAACAATGGGTACGTCATCACACGGTCCAAGATAGAACCGACTCTGATACCATGACAGAAACTGGGGGAAATGGGTGCTGGCCCACTACCATGAAGGACACCATGAAAGAAGGGAAAAGCCCGTATGAAGCCCAAAGGGGGTTCCATCCCAAAACCAATTGGTGGAAGGAGGAGTAGCCCATTAGTCTTATAAGGTGGGTCTATTTTCCATATATGAACGATGCGGGACTACTCACAAGTGATATTCTAACACTAGACACACGGTAGTAGCACTGGTAGTGCTTGTCCATTTCATGAAACAGAGCGGTTACTGAAAAATGCATTGAAATGGTAAAAAGTAATATGGTTTCTTTTTTTTTTTGAAAAAAAAAATAATGTCTTTATTTTGACGTTGTTTCCCAACCAAAAAAATATTAATTTGACGCGGTGTCATCATTATATCTTTGCATTACAAATTTACGATGAAATTAAATTAAATGGTAATTGAGATAATTCAATTCTACTCCCTCCTATTTTTATTATTTGTCATCCTAACTTAATTGATCATTTATTAAATAAATGTCATTTTGGCTATTTTGTACATATTTTTCCATTATTACCCTCATCTAACTAATAAATACACTACATATTTTCATATTCACTCTCAATCTTTTCTCAAAACATCAATCTCTATCCTCATTAATGAGGGTTATTATTGCTAAAAAAAATATTCTTAATTATTGTGCAACTTCTCAAAACGATATTTATTAAAAATAGGAGGGAGTATTATCTTGTCTCAAAATTCAGTTTCATCTCGTATTCGAAACATGTTTGGCCAAATGCATGACATGTATATTTAGGATATACTTGACATTTCATCTAAATTGTTGATATATTAAGATGAAATTGTTCATATATTAGTAAGTTATATTGATCTCGTTTTGAGAAGCCAATCAAATACCAAGAAAAAGAAAAAAAAAAAAAAACAACATTTGATCTCTCGAAAAAGAGCATATGGTTACATATGCATGCATATATAGCTAATCAACAAAATATTATGGCGAGAAAACAAAATTTACCGCTTGTTGTGCCCCCGAGATATAAATAGCCAACGAGCATTCGTCTTTTCCGGGACAAAGTGCCGCTAAAGTGACATCAGTGATGGCCGGAACCACCATGAGGTTGGCAAAGCAGTAGAGGAACACCGTCATGAATAGGTGGCGCAACCCAAAATCCTTCTCCATATCTCTCTCTCTCTATATATCTTTGTGTGTTAAAGAGAAAGCTAAACTGAAGTCTTGTAAATCACTCTCACTCAATTCTTGAAAGCAAAGAAATTAAGAACTTGGGCTCAGAGTAACAAGGGGACATTGTTCCATATTATATAGTCCCACAAAAAAAGAACAAAAAAAAAGGGCAAAAAGAGAAGCATTAAATTAAAAGGAAATTAAATGAAAGTTAAATTAAGACCAATGACAAGTGGTTGTTTTGTCAATAAGTGAAAAAGGTTGGGTGCATGCTTGTGCTTTACTTGGGCGTGAGCTCTTAAATTGCAAGATTGCATGGGCGCGTGCATCGCGGGGTGTGTTGTGGGGGCATATTATTTCAAGTCTAAAAGAGTAACGAAAGAAAGTGGGGGATTGTTGAAATTATGTCGTAGCTTGTAAAGTTTGTGCAAGGGCATTATAGGCAAACCTGAAACATTTGCTTACGCTTTGATGCGTACATGTTTGAGAACATTATCCCTTACGTGATATGTTAATTGACATTACAAAACAATAGGTTGCTCCTAATATACTCGTCGTCGTGGATTTAGTCTATTGGAATAGGGATGATGTTAGGACCTACAAGAAGAAGATATTATTGAGGCAAAATATATATATGTTATCTATCTATATATAAAAAGGTTGTTGGATAAATCATTTATAGAAACTTTTGACCAAATAAATAATTCTTTTGACATACTATTTATAGACAATTTATTCAAACAAATAAGAAAACCGAAATAAATACTTTCATGGCCGAAATACATGCTTTTCAATTTGATAGAAATATCAGGTTGTTATCTATTATTTAATAATGCATATAGTAAAAAAAAAGCACTAGAGATATATATTATATCAAGTCAACAACAAAACAGCACTTCATGTTTATCCAAACAACTGATAGAATACTAACACATGTTAAATACACATATTTTATAAACAGATAAGGCACATGAAATCCTGATTTATCTAAAACATCAAAATTCTATAGAGATCCGAATATCCAATCCAACACATAATCTTCTCTCCTATCATTCAAACACTGGTAGGTCACAAGGATAGTGTATTGAAGAGCCAACATTAAAGCAAATAATGTTTTATTATTTTTTATTACCGAAACATTCTTCTTGNTTTCATATATAATCTATCTGATCTATACAAGATTATTTCATATGCAGACTTGACTTCTTAGAAAAACATTCAATTTATGAAGAACACAATTGGTGAGAGCATCAAAGAAGCAGAAGTTGTTCACTAGACAATAATAAAACGAACAATGATCGAGAACAAAACAGGTACACATCCAAATTTACCTTTTATTACCTACCTTTGTTGTAAAATTGTGAGCTTAAAGAATACTGTTATTTGTTCTCATGCTCGGACGTGAAAATCATAAAAAAAATATTGATGTTAGAGATATAATTTTATAAATAGATGACTATAGTGTGTACAGTATAGTGTGTAGAAAAAGCAGGGAAATCATAGTGCAAAATTAATACTATATTGTGTACAGTATCATTTTAGTTAATAAAAAAACAACTAAGTGGATGAAGAACAAGCCAAATGCAGGTTAACAAGAAGGAAATCACAATATATTTTTTTATTATTTAACAATGTATTTAACAACATTCACACTTATATTATTATTATTATATAATTATAAGTTATTAATAAAAAATTTATAAGTTATCAAACTTTCTACTTATTATTCGTAATAACATAATTTTAATTCTTTTGAGCTACATTTGTAGATAATATAAACACGTCTCCCTGGATTGGATCCTCTCTTACTGTCCTGCAAGACACAAATGGAATGATGTGTCATCCATTGTCTTGAATTGTATGATTTTCAGTTATTTCATTTATTGCTTTACAACAATATATAAAAAAAAAATGTAAGAGTATAAAAATTTAATCAAATGCAGAAGTTTTTATATATATGTTGTAACAAATGTTTGTAATAGGTAAACATAATCGTCATAGATTTGCATTGCATAATGCTGGTAATGATGCACCAGAAAACATTGTTATATATCTCACAAGTGAAGACGACCTTGAATACCAGGACACCTGTCCTTAACAATTTCACTAATTGTGAAGACATACAACCAAGTACACAGAAACAAAAACGTGGTCGTCCTAGAAAAACACCCTTAGCAAAGTTAGAAATATTTGCTGAGTTTAATTCATTTTGTAGATAATTCATAATATATAAATTTTTTTGATTATATATATGTTTTATACTATTTCCATATTTGGAGTTTTGTTTGACATTTTATGTTTTACATAGAGTTTTAAAAAATAATTTTTGTACAGGTTCAAGCACAAAGGATGCGCAAGGACGTAATTTAGACACACAATCACTTTGCAATATGGTGATTAATTTAGACATACAGATAGTAAGTAATTTTAAGTGTACAACGATTTATTACTTTTTGAAAAATATATATTTTTTGTATTTTCATATTAAAACCATATTATATAACAAAAATTATGTGGGACAGAGATAATTTTATAGTGTTGCAGGACAAAACATGGTTTTGAAGCACGTCTAATGCTTCAATTGGTATGTTCAGGAATTTCGATCTTGAGCCTCTTCCATATGAAAATGTATATTGTTTATACATTATAATATTTGTATAAATATAAAACTATCTTTATTTATGTCAACAGGAAAACGTAAACATTATATAATACCCACTAAGAAGCCAGTAGTAATGCGACCAATAGTATGCTTATCGACCTCCAAGTGACGACGAGCCTATTACCAACAAGACAACACCTCAAACTATAATTGCAAGTTCTGTGGTTGATCTCACACATGATACTCCCATTCAACCAACTACATTAATACGGAAACGTGGTCGTCCTAGGAAAACAACAGTAACATCATCAGGGTTGTCCGTAAGTTTTACTATGTATTTTTAATATACAAAACAAATTATTTAACGAATATATGTTTTCTCATATATTTTACTTCAATAAACATTTACAGAATACTGGGACATGGCAGATGCAAGTTTTCGTTCTATGTATTGCAGATAGATTTTTTTGTATGAGGAAAGAAAAACTTATTATCAAAATGCAGTCGTCCCTTAGTCCACTGGTTGTTGCATAAATAGAAAAATTCAACTACCTTTTTTGCAAAATCCTCCCAAATTTAAATGATTTGCTTCATGGAGGTGGCCAATTGAGCAAACATTTTCAAGAGAACATAAGATCTTATAATAGCATGTTCGGTTTTACATTTTTGGGGGAAAGATGGATTTAGATATCAATAAGGGGACCTGGCCACCAATGTTTTCTTTGCATGGACAAAATTATCATCTAATCGATAGTTTGCTTCTTTCTGAAGGTGCATGTCCAAAGTTTGCACACACACACACACACACACAGACACACACAGAGACATATATATATATATATATATATATATATATATTTAAAAATCTTAATTTGTGGCGAAAATAACATGTCAAAAGAATCAACCCAATAATGTTATAGAAAAAAGTTTTCAATAATATATGATCTTTTCAGTTTAATTATATGTTTATATGTCTATTCTTATGGTCATTGCATTATTACCCAATTTATATACCAATTTGTCTTCTAAAAAACACAAACATATAATTTTTTCGTGCATCGCACGGGCGATTACTAGTCATAGAGAGCAAGGAGCTTGGTTTTTTAGTACTAATTTATTTTTTAACTAAATTTTGTGTCAAGTATTTTTTTTCTTTTTTTTTTTGTGGAAAAATGATATACCAATTTGGTATTGATTAAACTTAATGCACTAACTTACATAAATATATAAAGATAGGATCATATGAGAATTGTATATAGTAAAAAAAAGTAGAAAAAAAAATTCTGAACTATTTGATCCAACATATCAACGGTCATGATAAAGTCAAATCTTAAATATGACAGTCAAACATTAAATAATAAATAGGAAGCATCTGGCCGAGTAGCAGTCGATTTCCCCTGTTTAAGAACTATGGAACCGTGTCTGTTCTTTCTTCTAGCTTTCTTCCAGACATTGCATTTTTTATCATTTGCTCTTAGATTTTTAATTTAATTTCGTGCAATCCAATCCAATCAAGCAATGATAACAGTCAAAGTTATGGGATCAAATTTACAATTTTTCTTGACAAAACCCAACTCACAAATCGATTGATTTCAGTTAAAGGCAATAATAACCCGTAATGGAAAATAACTATATCCATACATTTAGTCTAATATTTTTTGAATTTTTTAAAAAATATAGTAATACAATGTAGAATAGCACTATTCTTTGATATCATTTGATTGTAATGCCTGAAAATCATATCATATCAAGNTTTTAAAAAAAAAAAAAAAAGACGAAAAAGGCGGACAACATTGTAGATGCTCGGAGTGTCATCTAAAATCCCTTAAAGGCAGAAAATAATATTTTTAGCCTTTGTGAAGTGATAGTACGAAATAAACACTTTTTAAATTAAATTGAAAAAAAGGAAAAAGAGATGTTCATAGCCTGTCTGGTCTTCATGGTCATTCTCCACGTCATCAGCCACGTGTAAGTCAAGGTAGCCTAGTCATCTTGATAACATCAGATCAGAGAGCCGTTCAGTGATGCATTGCACTATGCATGACACATGAGGACAAAAATGCACAACGGCCTCCTCACACCAAAAGGGAATAATTGTCCTTTTACCCTCTTGGGGGTATTTTGCTTATATTTTTGAATTCAGATTTACCTAGCCTAGGTGTCCCTATTCTAGATTATTCTTATGGCTTGAGCAAATTGATTTTTTTGGCCATTTAAGTGTTATTGCAATTATTTTCATTATGTTTGATCTCAAATCCTTTTAAAAGGTTATTACCTTATTTGTTAATTAACAAAGGTGTGTTATTTTCTATGATCGAACCAGCTTAGTTTTTCTTATTCTATTTTTATTTTATTGTTGAAAATTAAATATAGGGCTGAGGGCATGAAGTAAATTATAACTAGAAGAGGAAAAACGGGACCATGAAATATAATCTGGACTTTATTACCGACCATGCCGTCACATAATTAGATTTTGAGGGCTAAAAATTTAGTCAAAAATTAGTAAGAAATGGAGATCAAAGAGCGAGCGTATCACAAGGATTCACCCATGACATTTTCATCAATATTTCACTTAATTCAACAATTCTCACATGTCGCAACACTTTCATTTCGTACAATTTTAACAATTATTTACTGATTTACTTCTTGTTATATCTAATTCCTTATGTTAGTAATTTAATCACTGCACAATAAACTTATATAATGTTTCCTACAATTCTCACTTAACATAACCAATAGTTTATCATGACATCTCCATGCCTTTACAATATATATTAAAAATATGGATTCTCACCCTATATTTTCATTTAATTTATAAATTCTCAATAATACTGACATTTTTGTTCAATGTTATTTTCACAATAGCACTATCTCATTACTTTTTCAGTCAACAAATTGAATACATGTTGTGTCATATATTTATGAACTTAAAACCTACAAAATTGATCATAAAAAAATAAAAATTTTACAAGCCACACAAAACAATAAACATACACAACTAAATCATACTATCCTAATAGCTTGAACATTCAATCATAACATAAATTAACACCAAAATACACAAAAATGGTCATTGTAATAAGCAAATTAAATTAAAGTTCTTACAAAACGGCATAACAAGCCATAAGTTCTAGATACATTACATACTTTTCACGCTACTAAACATATTAGGCACTAGCATAGTTAACTTTGGTTGCATACACAAAAGTAAATTAACAAATCATAAAAACTCAAAGAACTCCTAAGCATCCCCAATGTTCAATTAGCTTTTTCCCATGACCCTCGATTACATGAACAATAAAACCAATTATCTGTCAAAAGATATGCATTCTTCTTCAAACGTCTTTGATTTTGAATGTGCAGTTTCCTAAATGCCATCAAAATGAACCGAATAAACTTAACGCCCCGTTTTATTTTAAAGAATTTATCGAACTTATTTATAAAAATCAAAGTTAATTTTTCGCAAATTCAATTTAAAATTAAAACTCAACGGGCGATGAATCATGTATTTAATTAAAAAAAAATACGTGGACAAAAATAAATAAAAAAAAAATTGTCTGGAAAAAAAATCAAACAGCCGGATTTTCAGAATCCGTTTTTCCTTGAAACACGGATTCTGAGAATCCGTTTTTATTTATTTATTATTTATTATTTTTACTTTTTTATTTTTTGTTAAAAAATATATTTTGAAAAATCCGTTTTTATTTTTTATTTATTTTTTAGTTAATAATAAAAAACATAAAAACGGATTTTGAAAATCCATTTTTATTATTTTATTATCTTTTATTTATTTTTTATTTATTTTTTATTTAATAAAAAAAATTGTACTAATTTGACTTCAATTCGAGTTCGATTACACTATAATTGACCGAGATTGTACTAATTTGACTTCATTTGGACAAATCGAGGTCGATTACACTATAATTGATCGAGATTGAACTAATTGGACTTCAATTGGACTAATTTGACTTCAATTATAGTGTAATCGACCTTGAATTAGTCCAATTGAAGTCAATTTAGTACAATCACGGCCAATTATAGTGTAATTGACCTCGAATTAGTGCAATTGATGTCGAATTAGTATAATCTCGGTCAATTATAGTGTAATCGAACTCGAATTACTCTAATTGAAGTCAAATTAGTACAATCTCGGTCAATTATAGTGTAATCGAACTCGAATTAGTCCAATTGAAGTCGAATTAGTACAATCTCGGTCCATTATAGTGTAATCGACCTCAAATTAATCCAATTGAAGTCGAAGTATTACACTCTCGGTCAATTATAGTGTAATCGACCTCGAATTAATCCAATTGAAGTCGAATTACTTCAATTTCGGTCGATTATAGTGTAATCGACCTCAAATTAGTTCAATTGATGTCGAATTAGTACAATCTCGGTAAATGTAGTGTAATCGAACTCGAATTAGTACAATTTCGGTCAATTATAGTGTAATCGAACTCAAATTAGTCCAATTGAAGTCGAATTAGTACAATTTCGGTCAATTAAAGTGTAATCGAACTCGAGGTACTCCATTTGAAGTCGAATTAGTACAATCTCGGTCAATTATAGTGTAATCGAACTCGATTTTGACTTCAATTGGACTAATTCGAGTTCAATTACACTATAATTGACCTAGATTGTACTAATTCGACATCAATTAGACTAATTCGAGGTCGATTACACTATAATTGACCGAGATTGTACTAATTCGACTTCAATTGAACTAATTCGAGTTCGATTACACTATAATGGACTGAGATTGTACTAATTCGACATCAATTGGACTAATTCGAGGTCGATTACACTATAATCGACCAAAATTGTACGCATTTGACTTCAATTGGATTAATTTGAGGTCGATTACACTATAATTGACCGAGATTGTACTAATTTAACTTCAATTGGATTAATTCGAGGTCGATTACACTATAATTGACCGAGATTGTACTAATTCGACTTCAATTGGACTAATTCAAGGTCGATTACACTATAATTGACCTCGATTGTACTAATTTGACTTCAATTAGAGTAATTCGAGTTCGATTACACTATAATTGACCGAGATTGTATTACTTCGACATCAATTGGATTAATTCGAGTTCGATTACACTATAATTGACCAAGAGTGTACTAGTTTAACTTCAATTGGACTAATTTGAGGTCGATTACACTATAATTGACTGAGATTGTACTAATTTGACTTCAATTAGACTAATTTGAGGTCGATTACATTATAATTGACCGAGATTGTACTAATTTGACTTCAATTAGTGTAATTCGAGTTCGATTACACTATAATTGACCGAGATTGTACTAATTCGACTTCAATTGGACTAATTCGAGTTCGATTACACTATAATTGACCGAGATTGTACTAGTTTGACTTCAATTGGACTAATTCGAGTTCGACTACACTATAATTGACTGAGATTGTACTAATTCGACTTCAATTAGACTAATTCAAGGTCGATTACACCATAATTGATCGAGATTGTACTAATTTGACTTCAATTGGGCTAATTCGAGTTCGATTACACTATAATTGACCGAGATTATACTAATTTGACTTCAATTGGGCTAATTCGAGTTCGATTACACTATAATTGACCGAGATTGTACTAATTCGACTTCAATTGGACTAATTCGAGTTCGATTACATTATAATTGACCGAGATTGTACTAGTTTGACTTCAATTGGACTAATTTGAAGTCGATTACACTATAATTGACTGAGATTGTACTAATTCGACTTCAATTGGACTAATTCGAGGTCTATTACACTATAACTGACTCAGATTGTACTAATTTTATTTCAATTGAAATCCGTTTCATCCGTTTATAATTTCTTTTTATTTTTTATAATCCGTTTTATTTATTTTAAAAAAAAAACTTAAAAACGCATTTCAAAAAAAAACTGAAAAACGGATTTCAAAATCTATTTTTCAGTTTTTTAAATAAATAAATAAAAAATAAAAAATAATAATAAAAAAAACAAAATGGATTATGAAAATCCGGCCGTTTGATGTTTTTCCACAACATTTGTTTTCGTTCGTTGGGTCTTAGAAGTTGAGACAGATGTGGCATTTAGATGCTTTTCCACAACATTTGTTTTCGTTCGTTGGGTCTTAGAAGTTGAGACAGATGTGGCATTTACTCTTCTATCTCTGTTCATTCCTGAAAAAATGGCTGCTTTCACTACGAAAACTCCGTTTTCAATTGACTAATTGGGAAATAAATTTGCTTCGGCTGAAACTTCGTTTTTCCAAAGAATTTTATTTTTTGCCACAAATTTTTATTTTTTATAAATAAATAAGCCACCCGACGGGCGCTACTTATCTACCAAGAGCATTTTAACAAACATACGAACATATCAGATAGAACCTACACATGCAATACTTACAGTTATAAAATAAATCCAACCATTTATTAAATTCCCAAAACAACCATAAATCCAAGGATTCAATCCGACATAATCAATATCTAAATCAAGCAAGAAATGAAATGAGTCAAATAACAGTTCAACACTCGGCGGAAGCATAAATATAAATCATCAACTAATGACCATCACTCGCTCGTCTTTACGCCACCGCCATCAGCTCAGCTCAACCTAAAGATAAGTAAGAGGAGACAACAGAAAAATAATGGGAGATTGTTACAATCATTATCAATTCAATTACGAATTGTTAAAATTAGTAAAACAACATTAAAAAAAATTACCAAATGAGCACGGTCAATGTATGTTTTTTTCAACGGTAGTGTAAACCGATATTGTGGAGTTCTCGACACCAATTTGTGTGCATATAAGAACATTAAAACTTCCACAGCCAATGCTTGCAGCGCCAATTTTGCATTTAGATGGAACAAAATACCAAAAAGAATCTTTACCACAACCAAATACAATCTTCACCACAACCAAATACAGGCAACAAAATCACTTCAAATAATAATTATCCAAATTCAAAAGAAAAAATAACATCATTGTCATCACACAGATCAACACAACAAAATTCAAACACACATACATACACCTTGTAAAGTTATTATCCAGTTACTATTTATTACTTCACTAAATTATTAGAATATAAACATGATTTAAATCAAACCAATATGCCAAGATAAATATACCAAGAGCCTACAGTAAATAATAATGTTTTAAACTAAACCCTAAAACAATTATAAACCAACTAGACAACGAAAAAATAGAAATTGAAAATACTTGTAAATCAATGACTTAATTTTTTTCGGATATATCAAATTAACCCTAATTATGAACTACGAAATTTAAATTAAAAGATAACTTACTCACGGCCCCAACAAAGTAGCGATATCTATATCCCCGTTCTCTATTCGCGCGTACGTCCCACACGCCGAATTTGTATTCTCCTCCGACTGATGTGCTTCCCTCACTGCAATCACGGCTCCCCTCACCGAATCCTGGGCATTCTTCTCTACATCACGAACGGCATCTCCCGCCTCCCGCACTGCCGCCACCAAATCTGGGCTGCCGCCGGCCACCGCGGCCACCACCTTGTCCATGGCTTCCTGCGCCAATTTGGCAGATGCCAGAGTATTGTCTGCAGCTTGCTTTGCATTATTCGTTGCCACCCTTGTGTTTGATGCTGCAGTCATGGCACTATTAAAAGGCCTACTCGCCACCTCTGATAGTTTCAGATATACTGCTGCGATCGCTTGATTGACCGCCTGACTGACGGCCCTCCTACGTGCTTCAGCTGCTTCCGCCGGATTGGAGCGCCACAGATAGGAGTCGCTGGCGTGTTTCATACACACCATCGGCAAGCAGCAGAAAAACGATATGACTAATCGGCAAGGAGTTTTTTTTTTCTGATCCTTTTCAACCATCACATAAATGGCCGAACTAATGGCCGAAGCCAAACAATCAAATACGCCCAAGTTCTCAAATATGACAAAGAGGTGGGAAATGCATATCAAATGCAGCATCCCGGCTAACACCACAACGAGGGACCATACGTCGGTCAAGGCCGATTCGAGCCAGATGCACACGATGACTAAGAGCGTGTCGATAAATACCCGCCCTTTGCGCGGTATTTCCACTGTCACGGTATGGAGTCTGCCGGTATTCAATCTGTAAGCGATGTAAATCATCATTCCCGCCCCATGAATACCGGCAGACTCCATACCGTGACAGTGGAAATACCGCGCAAAGGGCGGGTATTTATCGACACGTTCTTAGTCATCGTGTGCATCTGGCTCGGATCGGCCTTGACCGACGTATGGTCCCTCGTTGTGGTGTTAGCCGGGATGCTGCATTTGATATGCATTTCCCACCTCTTTGTCATATTTGAGAACTTGGGCGTATTTGATTGTTTGGCTTCGGCCATTAGTTCGGCCATTTATGTGATGGTTGAAAAGGATCAGAAAAAAAAACTCTTGCCGTAGTCATATCGTTTTTCTGTTGCTTGCCGATGGTGTGTATGAAACAGGCCAGCGACGCCTATCTGTGGCGCTCCAATCCGGCGGAGGCAGCTGAAGCACGTAGGAGGGCCGTCAGTCAGGCGGTCAATCAGGCGGTCGCAGCAGTGTATCTGAAACTATCAGAGGTGGCGAGTAGGCCTTTTAATAGTGCCATGACTGCAGCATCAAACACAAGGGTGGCAACGAATAATGCAAAGCAAGCTGCAGACAATACTCTGGCATCTGCCAAATTGGCGCAGGAAGCCATGGACAAGGTGGTGGCCGCGGTGGCCGGCGGCAGCCCAGATTTGGTGGCGGCAGCCCCTGGAATACTGGATATACTAGCACATCACGAAATGATAGGCTACCTTTAATCTTGTCATGTGCCAAACCATTAGTGGCGTATAAAGTAACTTCTCCAGCAGCGAGCGTAATAAAGGCTGAAAAGACCCAATGGTGCCAGGTCCAGTTCATGGGATGTAGCGAAAGCCAGTTGACAAGAGAGGCATAGAGAAGGACGATGAATGGACCAAGGGTTTGGGGGTGAAGATAGTGAGATAATGAGGCATAGAGAGAGACGGTGAATTGACCAATGGTTTGGGGGTGAAGATAGTGAGAGATTGATTGAAGCCAGCCCAAAACCATAGCCATAGCCATAGGGAGACGGTTATTTCACGTTGGGTGCAGACGGGTGAAAATTGAGAGATGATTGGACTTGGGGGTAAAGAGAGGTGAAGAGGGAGATTAAATGGACGTTGGTCTGTACCCAAAAAAAAATGGATGTTGGTGAGTAGATAGGGTGAGGAGAAGACCTGTACCGAAAAAAAAGAGTGAGGAAAAGACAAAAATGACTCCTAAAAATTTCATTTTGATTTTTTCGAATTTCAATTTAATTGAGAGTTCCTAACATCTTTAATTATATGATAAAACATTAATTTTTTGCATTCATTACGAATTTATTTATAAATTTTTTAATTAATTTGGCACAACTAAAATATTAACACAAACCAATTATAAATAATATTTCATAAATAAATAAATAATAATAAAATAAATATTTTAAGTTGGATTGAATTGGTTAGAGATAAATATAAGTTGAGTTAGACATGGCCAACTATCGGGTCGGTGGTTCGTTAAACCGCCAATTTTTTATTAAAAAAAAAATAAAAATAAATTCAACTACGACCCACCTTCAGACTCAAAATGGCAAGTCCAAAAAGAAAAATGGAGACCCGAAATCGGCCCTTAAAGGTAAGGCTTCGGTTCAAGAACTGGAGTATCCGAGCTGGGTCGGCGGGCCCGTGGCCATGTCTATGTTGAGTTAGAAAGTTGTTTAAGTGGAAGAGATATAAATAATTTTTAATTGTTAGATAGAGTTGGGTTGTGGATGATAAGGCTGCTCATAATCGAATCGAAACCAAACCAAAAATTGAGAGAACTTTATGGTTCAGTTCAATTTTTTAACGGAAAATCCAACAGTCGATTCGGTTCGATTATCGATTGATTGCAATAAAAAATTAACCTTCTCAATAAATTATGAATTTTTAACCAAACCAAAATTTTGATTTTTTATCCGAACAAAAAAATTTGATTTTTAATCACCTTGTTTAGTCTTCTCAATTAATTCCAAATTCTCTTGTGAGGAAAATCTGCATCATGATTTAGACTATGAAGTAAATTTTGAGTGCAAATTAGTGCTTGGTCCATTTTATGAGTTATTGAAGCTAGAAAATCATTCATCGTTATTGAAGTCAATTAATATTTTAATAACTTGTATATATAAATAATATATATTTATAATCGATTTTCGATTCGGTTAACCGATGACAAAATTTTAAAAAAAATGTAAACCGAAAACTGAAACATATATTCAATTTGAATATCAATACAAATCGAATTTTCGGTTGATTAGCCGAATTTTATACAGTCCTAGTAAAAAAACTTGATATAAGGAGAGAGAGAGGAGACGAGCGTGTTGTAAGGTAAAAAAACAAAGTGAAACGAGGGAGATATAGTCATGGGATAAGAGAGATAAAAATTAATTCTTATTCTTATATTATCTTTTTTTTTTCTAAGCCCATGAGCACAAACCCATAGCCAGTACAACCTGCATGTTTGCCCCCTATTTTCTTTTGTTAAAATAATACCCATAGCCAGTACAGCGCGTTGACCGTTTCCCTTATGAGCTTCAACATTCTGTACACGCGAAAAAAATGAACATAGAATATGGCTACAATTGTGTAGGCATTAATTAGCTATTGCATAACTCATAAAAATTATTACCACAGGTTTTTTAGCTTAAATTTAAATTTTGCTTTCGAATCATTTTTTCTTTTTATTCTTCCTTTTGTTTCTTAAATTTAAATTTAAATTATTACCACAAGTTTTTTGTTCTCCACTTTTTTCTGACTAATTCATTAACTTTAATATTTCGGCATATATTCAGAAAATTAAAGCATCTAAGATTTTTTATATTTTTTCAGAATATTATACTTTTAATCGAACAAAAGTAAGATGAAAAGTTGAGAAAAGGTTGATTTTAAAAGTATGAGATAAATATAAGATTTTGAATGCATATGATAGTATGAAAGAAAAAGATATAATCGCTAAAGTTGATTATGTACTCTAAAAATAAATATTTATGACAAATCTTTATATTTTAAATGTGTTACAAGAAAAAAAAAAGTAAATAAAATTTAAGCAACTGTAGATTATAATGATGACAATTTTCTTTTGGCCATGATTGCAAGCAACACGACTGTTCTCATGCATGGGTTTGATTTGAGGTAAGTTTTGATTTCAAACTAAATAATTTTAATAAATAAAGAAGCAGGTGAGCACAGGCATTTGTCATTCATGCACACAAAATAAAGAATCATAGCAAAAAAAATTGATTTTATGGTGAAATATGAAATATTGGTTTTGTTTGAAGGTCCTCATGATTTTGGATATCTTTTCTTGGGGCTTGTATTGAAATCTCTAAATCGGCAATGATTTTGATTTTGGATAACTTTAAATTTATAACATTGTTTATGGAATTTTTCAAAAAAATTCTAATATTTTAACTTAATCATTTTTTTTTTAATTCAATCCTATTATCATCAAAATTATCAATATAATTATATAATATCAATCAATCATTCATACACACCACATCAGCTTTAATTCACTATTCATCCACTCACATTATTTTAACTAACCATCACTTCAAATCTCTCTCTCTCTCTCTCTCTTATTTTTATATCATATTCATTTTAATTATTTTATATTAAATATTATTTTAATATACCTACTAACAACTAACTATACCACATTTTTTAAAATTAACCAAACTAAATAAAAAATCCAAACAAAAATAAGTTTTTTTTATAAACAAACATGCCCTAGACAGGGTCATCTCAGAGTCTTGTTTTATTTGGTTCCCAATGTTGCACTAAAATTAGACTGGCTTTATGGTCTACTATGAAAGTTGCATGCCAATATGCCATGCATATCTATAGTAATATAAAGAGGTTGTTGGAAAAATATTTTTATAGTAAGTTTGACTAAAAAAAATAAATAGTTTGACTTACTATTAATGGAAATTTCGAAAAAAACATGTACCAAACAAATTGAGATTTTTATGGTAACAAATTTGGAGATTTTAATGGTAACAAATTTAATTGAGATATCCCAAAAAAACTGGAGGTTTTTATGGTAACAAATTTGGAGATTCTTATACCAAAATTTAATTCATTTTAAATATTAATCCACAGGAATCTACTTTTATTGGTAACAAATTTAAAGATTGTTATGCCAAAAAATTGAGATTTTGAATTGAGATATTCCAACAATTACAGATTTTTTTCCTATTCAAATTAATGTTGTAAATCAAACAAAAAATTATTCCAAAAATAATGGATGTTATACCAACTATTGATAAACTCCAATTTCATAGGAGATTTCTATGGGATTCTTATGGCAACAAATTGAGATTCTTATGCCAAAAAATTGAGATTTTGAATTGAGATATCCTAACAATTTCGGATTTTTTCCCCTTCAAATTCATGATGTAAATCAAACAAAAAATTATTTCGAGAATAATGGATGTTATACTAAATATTGATAAACTTCAATCCATAGGAGATTTTTATGGGTTTCTTATGGTAACAAATTGAAGATTCTTATGGTAACAAATTTGGAGATTCTTATACCAAAATTTAATACATTTTAAATATTAATCCCATAGGAATCTATTTTTATTGGTAACAATTTTGAAAATTCTTATGCCAAAAAATTGAGATTTTGAATTGAGATATCTCAACAATTACGGATTTTTTTTCATTCAAATTAATGTTGTAAATCAAATAAATAATTATTCTGAGATAATGGATGCTACACTAAATTAATATCACTGGGCCCACACGTTAATATAAAATTAATTAAATAGATAAATTACGTACATCTTTCCTAACAAAATGCGTTTTAATATTGTTAACCAATTTAATGGGATTTTCTTAACTAATTTGATAGGATTTTGGTAACCACGGGATTTTGTTAGCTTCGAATCTTCATTATTGATAAGGTTTGATAAGATTTTGTTTCCAATTTTTTTTTTTTTTGTTTTTTTTTCCTCTCTCGAAAATTTGATAAGGTTTGATAAGATTTTGTTTCTTTTTCTTTTCTCTCTCTCGAAAATTTGAGTCGTGGATTTGAAAAAAATAAATAAATAAAATAAACATATCATATTGATAAAGTTTTAGTGTGGGATAAAAATCAATTTTGATTTGATTGAACTTTGTTTCATATAAACCTAAGAGAATCAGACGTTTGAAAAAATAAAAAATTAATAGTAAATAATCATACCATATTTGTAAGGTTTGATTTGGAATATTGAGGCATAAAAATCAATTATGATTTGATAACATTTTGTTTTATAGAAGTTATCTTAGAAAATTTTACACGTTTCAAAATATTAAAGATTATAATTTTGTAAATTAAATTTTTGGATTTGCCTAAATAAATAGATCAAAATAAAAATATAATTTTTCAATCTATCCAAAAAGTCTTTACCAAATTTCATTGTAACAAACTCCATTATTTTTGGCTACATAATCTTTTAAATATTGGTTCGTCCCTCACAAGTGAATCACGTTCCACATTTTTTTTTAATTTTTTTAACAAAATCGATAACACATATTTTTAGAAGTCAATCATAATCATAATAAAGAAAATCGAATCGGATCATATTAAATACCTTACGTAAATATTTTTTTATTTCCTAGACATATGGCACATACACATGACTATATAAACATCACCAACGTTGAACAAAAAGTATTCGACATCCAATATATCTCACAAAATAATTTTTTCTACAAGCTTTTACATCGCC